AGGAGAGGATAAAAGAAAGCAAAACAATGTATCTGAGGCGTGTGTGACTGCCTAACGGCAGCCGTTCTTTCCTGGTGATGTCTGGAAAGGCTTCAAAGGGCAGGCCCACCTGAGCTCCTCCTGCCCTCTACCTAAAGATGGCTGCAGCCTCCGCCCTGGCCTGCACTAGCAGGCACCTTCGAGAGGGATGACAGAGGCCGGACGCGGTGGCTCACGCCTGTAATCCCAGCACTTTGAGAGGCCAAGGCGGGAGGATCACGAAGTCGGGAGATCCAGACCATCCTGGCTAACAAGAAGAAACAGCATCTCTACTAAAAATACACAAATTAGCTGGACGTGGTGGCGGGCGCCTGTAGTCCCAGCTACTCGGGAGGCTGAGGCAGGAGAATGGCGTGAACCCGGAAGGCAGAGCTTGCAGTGAGCCGAGATTGCGCCACTGCCCTCCAGCCTGGGCAGCAGAGCGAGACTCCGTCTCAAAAAAAAAAAAAAGAGGGACGACAGGACCAACAGGGAGCTGCTGCTGTCCCCCAGGCCTCCCCTGCTCAGATCTCATTTGGCATTCATGACTCGTAGCTGAGGTGGGTGGAAGGCGCCCTCTGAGGCGTCTGGATTCAAAACTCCATGAATGAAGACAGCGCTTGCGTTCTCTTTCTTCTCATGCATGGTCAAAAACGCAGACTGTCCAAGATGGCGCTCACTCAGGGTTTTGGTCAGGGATGATCAGCCCCTTCATCGGTGATTTTCATCCTTATGTCAGCTAGTGCCTCCTCTGAAATAGCCTAGAGACTTCATGCCATTGCCTCTGCCTTCCCCAGCATCCCTATTTCACAGGGCAGCTTGGGGAAGAGGGGCACTGAGGAACAGGGCTGAGACTCCTCTGATGTTTGTGGTCACCGTCTGGCTTGGTTCTGGTTGGAACGGCAGTTCCAGACCAGCCTGGCCAACATGGTGAAACCCTGTCTCTACTAAAAATATAAAAATCAGCTGGGCGTGGTGGTGCACACCTGTAATCCCAGCTACTTGGGAGGCTGAGGCAGGAGAATTACTTGAACCCAGGAGACGGAGATTGCAGTGAGCCCAGATCCCACCACTGCACTCCAGCCTACAGGCAGAGTGAGACTGTTTAAAAAAAATCCACCACACTGCTCACATTCTGTTATTCTTGTGTGCGTTTTTCAAAAAAAAAGAAAAAAGAAAAAAGAAAAATGGCCTTATCAAGGAAGAGGGTTTTGGCGTTTGTGCAAAGCCTGAGGTTTTAGGAAAAAGTCATTGATGAAGAGATGCTGGCAAGACTCTCCATTTACAGTAACCTGTGACTAGAAATGTCTCATGATGGGAGAAAAATGTGGAATCCAGGAGAATAAGTGTGAAGGTGGGTTTATGTGGGGCATTTTCTTTTTTGTCCAACACCTCAGATCTGTAACCAAACCAGCAAAAGCAAGTATGTCTCAGGAAAAATTTCTGCTTGTTACCGAGCTTCCTGGAAAATTGCATTTGGAGAGCTATGACGGCATGGCCGTGAGTAATTTGCTTTTTAAATAGTTCTGTTAGTTGGTCTACATTGTGTTTTTCGTTCCACCAGAGCTGAAGGTGGTGTTTCTTTTGTTTATGGTATTAGTGTTATATTATTGGTGATCTCATTGTTCTTGTTTGTGACATATTTACCTCAGTAGGACAGTTATTGTAGAAGGGAAGTCGGGAGCCAGTCTACCCACCAAACCTGCAGAACTAAAGAAAAAGACTCCAATCTGTCCCGCAGGGTGCATATTACTCCTCTCTTGGATTGTTAAATTCTAATTATAGGCTGTTGATCCCCATTAGAACCATTTGTAAGCCTAAACACTGTTCTGCAGCATCTTTTGCCAATAGGTATGTTTCATTTCGATCGTTGTATGAAACATAACATTTGTGCTTCTGGGGGACTAGAACACGTTAGTGTTCTCTGGCAAAGTTGGACAAAAAATAGGCAAAATATGACTCAAAACTAACATAGGGCAAACAAAAGTGCACTTTGCCTTGATGTTTATTTATTAGGGATTTCTGAAACCCTAGGACTCTAGAGCTCACCTTTCAGATCTCAGACCTCAGATGCCACATCCTCAAGGAAGCTCTCCTAGACTGCCCACCTCCACATTCTTGGGACAGCAGGGACCTCCCCCAGCCCTTCCTAGCACTTGACACAGTGGATCATTTCACAGGACTGGGGGGATTATTTAACTGTCTTTCCACTAGATGGAAAGTTTCAGAGGAATCCTGTCAGGATTACAGACACCTAGTATAATGCTTAGCACACGGTAGGCATTTAATAAATTTGTTGTGTAATGCCTGTGTACTGTTTTATTTGGGAATCTTCAGAAGGTAAGAAAAACAAATGGATACATTCATAATAAGTATGAGATGTGGAGAGCAAGCGAGTCAGTAGATTACAAGATAGAAGCAAAATTCATAGGATGTGTTAAGTAGAAGAGGGGATGAATAAGATGGAGCTGTGAGACTCAGGATGAATTCACAGAATTCACATGGATAATGAGTAAATCAATAACCTGTGGGAGATGTTGAAGACAGATACAATAAGTGGAACATATGATAGAACCAACCAGAGTGCTATAGACCAATGGAGAGGCATTAAGAGACCAAGTTGTAAGATACATTCATGCTACTTCAGGGCTGGCAGCTATCTGATTTCCAAAATCAGCCACTCATCCATCAGTGACACCCATTATGGTCCCAGTTGTGTTCTGCCCAAGAAGCACAGATAAACAGAGAGAGCTGTTCAGGAGGCTAATGGATGCTCCTGCTGTGGCCAGGAGAACTTGCCCCTGGCTCTCCAATAGCAAAAGGGTGTATCGTTGCCTTGGGCACCTTCTTTCTGTTGGTTCATTCACTCACCCTCAATTATGGTCCTTGTAACCACATCATTAAGAGAGAAAGTTAATATGGGTGGGAGGGAGAGAGAAACATGTGAACATTGCGTATTAAATGCCCCAGGATTCAGGCAGGGGACTTACCACCTGCTTCTGTGGTATATGTGTTAACCTACCCCATCTTTTTCTTCTTGCTTCTCCCTGTGTGTTTAAAAGGTATTCGACAATCTGTGTGATTCAAGTATCTTAACTTGATCTTTCTATTCTATCACCTCCAGAATAATTTGTCTGGTAGCACATTTGGAGGTTAATTTCCTATACAGCATATTGAAATAGTGCGTTGTGAATTAGCTACCATGACTGCTGATTAGGGTGAGGGTTAGGGTTAAACTAGTTTCTGAATCTAGCTACTCCTGCCTACCATAAAAACCACCTGCATTCAACAATTAGCCATTGCGTTAAGTGCTAAAGATACAATGATGAGAAAACAGCCGTGATTCCTGCCCTCATGAAGTTTAGAACAGAAGAAAGACCATCTGGTAATCACACAAATAAGTGACAAATAAATCTAATGTTTTAACCAGTGATAAACCCTCTGAAGAGATAGTACACCGAGGTCCTCTGAGAGCATATGCCAGGGGAATTTGACCCATTCAGAGAGAGTTAATTAAGCTAAGGGAAAAGGCATAAATGTCTCAGGCAGAAGGAACTGGCTGTGCAAAGGCCACGTGATGGGATGATGTCATCAACCATTCATTCAGCAGTCAGCACTGACCCCGTGTGCCCGGCCTCATGCTACAGGCAGGAATACGGGGGAGAAAGACCAGCTCTGCCCCAAGAAAAGCCCAAGACGACTGTCGGACCTAGGAGGATCCTTGGAGAACTTCAAAAGGTTTCACATTGCATGGAGGAAAAGACTAGAGCCTTATAAGATAAGACATCACTGAGAGTTCAGTTGTTAATCCTGGGAGGGGTGGACTCATGAATGGTCACTGGGTGTGGTGCATCCCTGGCTCTAGTCTTACCCTCCATGCAACTTGAAAACTTTTGATGTCCCAACTCAAACCTAATTTTCAAGCCTTCATTAGCTAAAATCTTACCGAATTCCAGCTTTAGAAGAAATAAATAAGATACTATTCCCGGGCTTATGCCAAACTCTTTACATGCATTGTTTTGTTTTTTGAGCTTTGTAACAACCATGTGAGATTGCACTAAACTGACACTCAGAGAGAAGGTAAGTCATGCCCCCGAATCATTCAGCTAATAAGTGAAGAAAAAAAAAAAAAAAATCAAGATCCAAACCCAGGTCATTCTGGCCCTAGAGCTGAATGAAATTCAGTGAACACCAAGCTCTAGCCAGGAATTGTGGTTACAATAAAGCTGCTGCCGACTGGATACTCCAGGGTGTTTAGGAATGTGCAGTTTGTGGGTAATTCTTGGTATTCTGGTTGTGTTGGTGCTATTGTAGTTTTGGTAATGTGGTCATCTCTTGACAATACATGCTGAAAATGCTTGCAGATTAAATGTGGCAATGTCTAGGTTTTACTTGCAAATAATCTGTGTGAATGGGGGAAGCAGTGTGTGTGTGTGTGTGTGTTTTGAGAGTTGGGGAGGCAGAGCCCATGGGGAGGAGGGGAGGAAATAGATTGGCCTTGGTTATTGGAGGTTGGGACGGGCGTATGAGAGTTGATTATAATACTCCCTTTTCTTTCGTATATGTTGGAAATTTTCCGTAAAATGTTTTCTCAAAAACAAGTAAGTTCTGGGTTATGTTTTGAGGGCCTACTCCTTCATTTCCAAATCCCATAGAATTTCACAATTGTATTTTCCCCCATAATTGGAAGTTCTATGGGGCTGTTTCAAAAATCTGAGTCATCAAAGATGTAATCGACTTCCTACCGCTGGATTAGCAAACAAAAAGGTACCTGATACTTTGTCTTCCGGCGCTGTGTTGGGCTCTGGGCTGAAACCCAGTCTCTCACAGGCCCTGGGAACAGTCCCACCAATTAAGATCCATCCCTGATTTCCGACTCTGTAACTGGGGACAAGTTAATTAACTCCTCTTAGCCCTTAGTGTCCTCATCAATTATTACGTGGTAATAACCCCCCCAGAGTCGCGGGGAGAATTAGCTCGGAGCGGTGCATGGGGCTAGAACTCAGGGACCAGCGGATATGACAATGCAGGTTTCCCGCTCGCCTCTTGGGTTTTTGAAACGCCCTCAGCGGCGTTTTCTTCCTAATTCTGGTTCGGAGGAGCCATCTCTCTCCATCGCGTCTGCCAGCGGGGTTTGCTTCACACACAGACGTGGGCAGATGGCATCGGGGGCACACGTGTGAAAGCCGAGAAGGTTGCGGCGCATTCGCGGTTTGGTTCACTGGACGCGGGTGTGGGGTTGGTGGGATGGGATGGGTGTGCGGGGTGGGATGGTGTCGGGGGTCGCAGGGGACAAGAGGGTGTTTGGTGGTAATTGGGAGTCCCGGGGAGCTTTGTAAAATTTGGATGCCTACAGTTTTCCACCCCTGAACTTGAGTGGGCTTTGGGTTTTTGTTTATGTGGGGCTTTTCTCCTCTTGTCAAGCACAGCGCTTGCCCCCAGCGGCCTGGCGTCGGGCTGCAGCCGGCAGAGGGAGGGAGGCGACCGGCATCCGCGCTCGCTGATCAGGGAGTGCGGGGCCTTCTGCTGGGAAACGTGGAGGGGCTCCGGACAGCCGCGCGCCCTGGCGGGTCACGGAAAGCTCTGAGGGACATTCGGTCGGCCTTCTGGGACGAGACTGGCCGCCGCAGCGCGAGCTGGGGGTGCTGGCGGAGCAGCGAGGGGGGCAGGATGAGAGGGGATGGAGCCCCGAGGGCGGGTAAGCGCTCGGCTTCCTGCCGCCAGGGGGCGCCCACGGGCAGAGTCGGGCGGGGCGGCAGCTAGAGAGAGAGGGGTGCGTGGAAAGCGACTAGGCCAGGCCAGGCCAGGAGGGCGCAGCCCCCGCGCGGTGTCTCCAAGCTCCCTCCAACTAGTGTTGGGTCACCCTCGGCTTAGCCCCGGGGGAGGACGAAAGGGTTGGGTGCAAGGCCTAGCACCCAGTGGCCATTCATTAAATACGTGCTGGCTGACGAGCTCAGGAACGGCTCTAGGGAGCAGCTGGCTCAGAAATCTGAAGTTCAAGCCCACTCATTCCCGTCTCCGTCCCCGACGGCCTTTTAGTTACCGTGCCCTGTGCTGCGACGGCTTCCTTTTGGAGTAGGGTAGCAAGTGAGCCTCCGCGCAGCGAGCACACCGACTGGGCAGCGGGGACAGGGGTGTCCGGAGGTATCCCCACTCCGTGTCCTCGCCTTCGACTGCCTCCCCGGTACACAGCAGTCAGGGCTTCGACTGTGACTTCTTAACTGGCTCCTCCCTGATCGGTGAGCGAAGCCACGGGAGAAAGGCAGGAGGGCTTCCTTCCCATGACCTTAGTCCAGGCGCCGGCCCGAATCGTGCTCGGGTGGATAAGTCTGATCTGAGCACCACAGGGGCCGGGCGCCTGGACCAAGGGGGTTCGCCAAGAGGGTCTCAGAACAAGCTCTGAGTCTCTGGAACTAGCTGGGGTGCGTGGGAGTGCGCGCCACGGCCCGCGATTTCCGGGAGCGTGTCTCGACTTCTGCCAGTGCCAACGCAGGAGGGAGAATTGCAGCTCAGAGAGGGCAGCGGGAATGGAAACTGAAGGGCAAGAGCTTGGCTCTCTAATGCCACCCAACTTAGTGGTTCAGAGCTTGGCCTCAAAGGAAGATTCAGTTCAAGCCCCCGCTCTCCCACTCACCAGCTGTGTGATCTTGGGGGAAGTTAACCCCTCCGAGCCTGTTTCCTGCTCTGTAAAATGGAAATTTAAAAACTTAAACATCTACTTCTGTTGAGGCTGTTGTGAAGAAGTGGGATTGTGGGTGCATAGCTCTTAGCACTGTGCCTGGCACAGGTTAAGGCTGGGTACGTGGCACCTGTGAGAACCAGTGTTCTCGTAGCTGGCTTGGCCAGATGCAATCATAAGCGAAGATGACTCACTTCCCCAGCAAAGGTGTGCGAAACCCTGCGCATGCTGCTGTACTCTGCACCCTGGCAGAAGAGAACCCAGGAGCGTCGGGACCTCCAACACTCAGCCCTCAGAGCTGAGGACACTGCACTGTTTCTGCCCCTCCTAAACCCGGAGGCCGCGATGCCCCTGTGCAGTACGGCTGGCACCCACCCTACAAGCTGATTCCTGGGGGACTGTCCTGCAGCAGACACCGGCAACCATCACTGGCGACCTTGACTGAACACATGTGGGCATCCTAAGGACATTACCTCAATCCTCACACCATTCCTGAAAAAAACAAACAAAGAAACTGGTGCTCAGAGAGGCAAAGTAACTCACTCAAGGTCACACAGCCAGAGAGTGGCCAAGCTGGGACCCCAACCCACTCTGGCTCCGGAGCTGGCGCCACTTCCTTCCTTCCTCTCCATCAAGCTCAGTCCCAAAGCCTGGGACAAACCATCCGACTGGGGTAGGAAAGGCCACGCGCGTCCTGGGGTCGAGGACCCTGTGCCCACGACGGCAGTCTTGCTCTCGGCAACCGTAGAAGCCAGTGCCAGACAAGTTGGGTTGGAAGGGGCGCGCTGAGCTGGCGGAAGGGGGCTCTGGGCCCCGCCCTGCCCGCGCCCCCGTGGATCGCGCCTCGTGCTCTGGCTCCTGCCAAGTTTGCCCCCATCTCTCAGGCGTCCTTGGACTGGACCTCTGCACCTCTCCAGCCTGGGGTGCACGGAGGGGCTGGCCCTGATTGATACCCACTTCCTTTCTTCTCTGGAAAGCCCAGGTGCCAACGAAAGGTGCCCTGGAAGCTGGTGTTGCTTTAAGAATGAACAGTCCCAGCTCCAAACCAGTCTCTCTGAACACAAGCCTCTTCCTTCCGTTCGCCCGGGCCAGTAGTCGAAGTCTCCCTGGGTCTCCAGCCCCCTCCCGGTAGACGTCAGTCGGGACCTGGGCCCCGGAGTTGAGAAAGGGTGCAGACCATGCTGGGGACCTAGCTCAGGCAGTCGGGGTCCGGGTCCCCTTTGGGGAAGTGAGCGCTTGAGGCGGAGGGAGAAAGGCTTTGAGTACGGCTTGGGGGACTTCTTGAGACCCCCGGGTATAGCTTCTCTGTCAGGCCAGGAAAGGAGAAAAAATCTGTCCCGCGCAACCCAGGGAGGAGCCTTGCAGCTGCGGAGAGGGGCAGTTTCAGAGCTGGATACCAGGGGGCAGTGCTGCGCAGCGAATCTGCCGGGCTCCAGTTGGCAGCCCGGGGCAGCACGTTTACCGAATTCCCTTCGTCTCTCAAAGCCGCTGCAAAGTTGCTCTCAGAGTGCTCCTGACGCCAACAGCCCTCTCGCCCCGTAACATGCGAAAGAGGGCACGGTCCTCTCCCTCCGCGCGTTGCCGTCGGTGCGGGCGTCCTGGCTGTCTTTCCTTGGTAAAGGCAGCTACCCCCGGCTTGGTTTTTGACCACTGACTTAGCCCTAGGGAAACGTAAGGTGGGGTGGCAGGGTGCCCCGTCGGGTTTTTGCAGGCCGTGTGAGCAACCTCAGATTAGAGGTTGAGGGGACTTTCTCAGCCTGGGCTGGAGCTCCCGAAAATGCAGGCGCCGCCTTTGAGACGAAAAAAAGGCACTGGAGATGAGCCGCCTGCATTTGATCGCCTTCCAGATTTACGTAGAAATGCATCCGAGGAAAGGTCTGATAGAAGGCAGAGAAGGTGGAGGCCCACCCCCGCCCAAGTAGGAGCCATCCCAAAACTACAGGTGCGAAGGGGGCTGAACCTTATCTCCAGGACGGCGCCAGGCCCACTGCACCCCCAGAATCGGTGTTGTTTGAGGAACGTCTTTCTATTCTAGAGGAGGCTGTGTCCAACCTTAAAATGTGCAGAAGCAGTGAGCAGACGTGACCCGGTGACGTGCACGGGGCTTTTCCCACCCACGGGGCTAGGAACTCCACTCCCTGTCCCGTCCCGGGGAAAGAGACCGAGCACTTCGGGCTCTGGGGCCAAAAGTGAGCCCAGGAACTTGGTGAAATAGAAACCGGACATATTATCTTTGGACTCGGCCTCCTTTTGCTGGGAGTTTTGTTTTTGGTTTCTCTCTCTCTCTTTCTCTCTCTCTCTCTCTCTCTCTCTAATAGCGCTTTACAATAAATAAAATAAAAAGGCATGTCTGTGTGTGAATGCTATGGCCGTTTGTTCTTTGAAGAATTCACACTTTAAAATTGCTTTCTGTGAGCGCAGAGGAAGAACATATAAACCACCGTTATGTAATTTGAAACCATCAATAGCCCCCTTTTAAGGTTGTCTTTATTGTGGGAAGTCAAGGTAATGATTTTGTCGCTGTCTAATTTCATCCCAATGTATGGCGTTGCTTTTATAGCCTTTCAAAGGTAAGTGAAAGGCATCAATCTAGGGCCCTTTTTTGTGGCCGATTAACAGTTTAAACTGGTTTTCTAACCCTGTCACAACTATTGGGCTGATAAACAGGATTTCTGCGGAGGCATTAGCAAGTCTGTAAATAGATCATTAAAAAAAAAAAAAAAAACCACAGCACCTCAGGCAATTCTGAGTTCCTCTGACAAAAATAAACCGTAAGTCCACAGGGGTGTATGTGTGTATGCATGTGTGTGTTTCTCACCTCCAAGAAGAGGTAGTTACAAATGACTTCTCAAGAGTTATTTGTGTCCTGGTTATTATTATTACTACTATTGTCATAATCTTAGGAGAAAGTGAGCAAGCTGACGACACAGGGATGGAAATCAATGAGCTTGTGGGTTCTGCATTGACTGTACCTTATTGTAGGAAATGTCCCCCTTTAATCATTGGGTAAGCCTGGCGCTGCTGCCAACCTTCTTTGACATAGAACGGTCCAAAGAGAAATATCCTATTTTATTGCAAGGGTTCCTTGGAAGAAGATACTTTATGTGGGACAACTGCTGAAGAAACGACAGACATGAAGGCATACTTGACACCAACATAGGGATACCCGTCCGTCACCTTTGATCTCCCCTCCCACATGCCACTGAGAAATAGTTTTTAAAAATAGAAGCAAAATGACAAACTAGACAATTTGAGACTTAAATAAAAATAGCTTTAGGCCCAGTTCCACTGAAAGCTTTTTCTCTTTGACGCTGCCGTGTTTCTCTGTTGCAACAGAAACCTCTAACTCCCCGCCCAGGGTCTCACACCAAGGCCAGACAGCCCCGCTCCCGGGATCACCCGAGGGTTACCTTTGGGTGCAGGCGCGGCCTCTTTCTCCGAAGGGAGGGGCAGCTCCCCCAGTGCAAAATGAAGGAGAAATGATAAGCAGCGGTGAAACGGTCTAGAGGCCCAGCCTGGCACCCGTCCCGCAAGGTGCTGGGGGAGGCGACACCCTGCAGCGCCAAGGGGATGCTCCTCAGGCGCAGCGGGCGGGACAGCTTGGGCTGTCCCTTTTGTCTTCCACGCTTCTCCTGCGGCGGGTTCCGGGAGTTTAGGGCCGGGCCCAGAAAGAAAAAGGCGAGAAGGCGCGTCTGGGCTCTGTAGGAGTGCAGCCGCTGCCGAGTCCGCACCCGGCCTCTTCCCTAGCGGCCCCAGACCAGGCCAGACATTGAGGTGAGGTTGCCCGGCAGGCGGAGACCCCAGCTCGAGGGTTCTCCGAGTCCCCAGCCGTCGGCGCAGGAAATTGAAGCGGCCAACACGCCTTCCTCCCCACTCGACTCCCGGGCCCACGTGCTGGTCCACGCCGGGGACCCGAGAGCATCGCGACGGGGCTGGGGGACGCCTCCCGGGCGTCGAGGAAAGACTGGACCGAGGGGGCAGGCGGGGCCCACGCGGTTGCATTTCGCGCCCCGCCGCCGCCTTCAAGAAGCAGAACCCAGAGCCCGACCTGCACCCTCGCTCCGGCCCCCGAGCCCGGCCTGGCCCGCAGTGCTCGGGGAGGCCCTGGGTGGCGCTGTCTCCTCTGCTCCTGCAAACGCCACCGCCAGAAAATAGCACCCATCCGACCCGGCCCGGCGAGACACCGACCCGGGGCTGCGTCAGCTTCGCTTCAGCCTCTCCGGGTGCGGATCCCAGGCCGGGCCGGCCGAGGGAGGCGGGCGGAACGCAGAGTCCAGGCGGCTCCCACCTCCCGGAGGGGGCACGGGGACCTGCGTGGGGCCGGCGGGGGCCGGGATTCCGGGCGGGGCGAAGGGACCCAGTTCGGCTGCGGGGCGCGCGGTTGCTCTCCCTCCGGACGCCGCTCGGATCCCGCCCTACCTCTCCGGTCCCTCGCCGGACTCTACATCGCCTTCGGCGTTTCCTCTCCCTCCCGGAGTTTCCACCCCTCGGCTTGTCTTATTCTCGGCTCCTTCGCCCACCCTTTCCTCCCCACCTTGTCCCCCGCCCCCACTCTTCTGCAGTTTGTGACTGAGAGCGCCCCAAACACCTCATCAAGCCAATAAACCCAAAATGTAAGCACTGCCCAAACCCGTGTGCTTATCCTGCCGCTTCTAGAAGGCAAATTGATACAGGGTGGATTTGGATCGGCTTTCTCAGAGAGGCCAGAAAGCTTTCAAAAATTCTAAGTCAGGAGACAGCTGTCTGTTTTCTTAGCACCTCTGTAGCGCTGAGGACGTCTTCAACCTCCTTAGAAACCCCCAGCCCAGGGACGTTAGCCCATTGCCCAGATGGAAGACAGAGCAGGGAGGTAACCCCAAAGGTTACAAACTTGATTCTTCTCATGTGGTGGATTCCAGTCTTTTGAATACGATCTCCACCTCTTGTTTTCCCTTCTTATTTAATTTCTTGATGTTTTCTTGGATGGCTTAAGCGACAGGAGGAAGAGAGGGCAAAGGCAGCCCCCATACCTTTCAATAGAGTGAAATAGCCTGAAATTACAGCTACATAACTATCAAAAATGAAACTGTGTTTGTGAAAATCTGTAACCCTAGCTATGTAATTGGAGAGATTCATGAAAAAGGATATTGCACAGGTGAAAGTGATTTTACAATTGCTTTCATATTTTTAATATTTTTCAAAAATTGTTGAGAGGACTTTTCCTGAATACAAGGGATGAATGTTTCGGCTTGGAAAGTTCAGTGTAGCCCTAGTCATTGGAAGGCTACAGTTATCATAAATTGCTTTTAAAGTGTTTATTAAAGTGATTGAAATTTGTTTCTTTGAAAAAAAAAAAGTCTCTGAACTTACAAACTTCCTACCTTACCAAATAGACTTTCCTGAAACTTGAAAATGGTTCCCATGAACTTTCTCTTGGCGAAACTGCACAGTAAACATGTTCTTGGAACTCTTTTTAAAAAGGTGTTGGAGCCCAATTTTCACAACCATTCATTTTCCTGCCAGATTCTTTGCATTGGGCATTTCCCTGTGTGCCCGGGACCTTACTATTGTTGAAGCAGAAGTTCTCATGTAGGAAATTTTGTATTCCTAGGGGACTCTGCTTTAGGGCAAAGGCTGAAATGATACAGGTTTAGGCATCCCATGGTTACTGAGTCAGTGGTCATCACATTAAATATTTTGGGCATGCTGACGAGGTAAGGAAGATGCAGAAACTGACCAGATTGATGAAGGCTGAAGACAAAATTCTAAGCAGTCCCTTGTTTTGCATGAAGCACTGTGATATTCAGGAAGATAAGGTGTTAAGATCGGAATTGCCCAAAGTGTCTATGCACCTTCATATTTATTGCTAATTATCACCTCTTTTCCATTTCTCGTTGTATTTGGCCAGCCCTGAATACCTGGAGACTGATCTGGGAACTGTTTGCTTTCGTTTCTTCCCATATATTTTTATTAACAACTTGAACTGATCCTGCCTAATCCAAATTCTTATACTTTGATCTTGTTCCTTAGCATCCACATTAAAGAGTTTTTTTTTGTTTGTTTCCACCAAATTTTTAACCCCCGCTTAACTTTGTCCCTATGCTAGTTCTATTTGCTTATTATTCTCCTATTTATTCTCTCGACTTGAGATTTCTGTGATGGTTACTTACATTAGTGACCACATTGCCAAAGCACCTTCAAAAGTGACTGATGCCCTTTATTACGTACTGGAGCTGCGTTTAACCAGGGAATCCTCATCAAGCCAGAAAGGTGAGGGAGAAAACTGAGATAATCACATACAGGTAACTGAGGGCAAAAACATTGTTTTGTCTCATCATTGAGTTTTTTCCAAATGAATGTTTTAAAATTAGAAATATCAGATTAATGACGGTAATAAAAATATAAATTGCCTCTTTCCAATGAGTATTCAGGCCAGGATCCTCTTCTGCCAGTGACAACATGAAGCATAGAAAAGTTATGTGTCTGGCCCCAAATGCTTAGTTCCTGTTACTAACAATTGATCTGGTGTTCTTCTTTGTAGGGAAACCTGACCTTAGAGGAAATGGAAAAGTTGGAGAGACACTGAGCACTGATATGAAATAATTCTCTTGCTGAAATCCATGAAGGGAGTCCCAGCAGCCATATTAGTATTTCCGTGTCCTGTGTCAGTCCCAAGTAGAGAGAACTTGGAATGGGAGGAGAAATCAGGAAATAAAATGCTGGCCCAGAGAATTCTAAGCAAGTCAATCACCAGTCCAAGTAAGGAGGTGTTTTTTTGCTTTGTTTTGTTTTGTTTTTTTTTTAAAAAAAAATCCACTTGCCATTTGTTTTACCCAATTCAAAATTTTTTCCCAAGGAAAAAAAAAATACACTTGTAAAATGTCTCATTAACAGCAAAGATGAATTGGACCTCAACTTTTGAATGCCATGCTGCTTTAATGGAAACTGTAGAAGTTCGTGGAATGAAAGAATACTGCCAGCATGCATTCGGACTATTTTCCATCTGTGTGGTAGAGTCTGAGCTGTGTGTTCTACAGAAGCTCCAGTTGGCAGAAGGACGACTTTGGCCCTGAATTTTCATTTATTTTTGTTTCAAAAATGAAAGGATAGTTGCTATTTTTCCAAACTTTAGAATTTTAAATCACTACCCACTTTTGATTTCTGATTTAAATCTTGTTTTGAGAGACACATGAGACAGTCTCTACATATTATATTATTTTGCAAGGGAAAAAAGGGAGAGAAATCGGAGAGTGCTGACTTTCTATGTCAAATGAATGGATTATCGGCTTCATTCTTCTTTATTTTATAAAGGTTTTCTTCTCAAGAAATGCAGAACCTTATCAATACAATATATATCAGTCTAATCGGCAGTCATAAAATGGGTGGCATAAGGGTGGGATATGGCAGCAGGGAGATCTCAGCTGGTAGCAAAGCATGATGTGATTGTGTTTTTATGGAAAGCCTGTTTTGTCCAGTGGCTGATGAAATTCAAAATGGTCCCCTAAGCCTATCTCTGAAGTCAGCAGTTCAGAAACAGTAGAGCTAGCAGCTCTCTTAACCTCTGTACGCTGCCCCCTACTTACCCAGCAACACCCCGGCCCAGAGCACCTCCAAATGTAAGACTTATATAACCAAATGGAAGCTTCTAGGAAGTACTCAGTTCCAGGACCAACAGTTTTTGCTTTAAAAAGAAGGTAGCAGTTCAACCCCTTGTTTGTTTTTGCGTCCGCATTTCCCTACCAGCGGGAGACCATTACCCGGGACAATGTTCTATTCCATTGTCATTATCTCCTACGGAACTAAAACAATGCTCTGTTTGGCCTCCCAGGCAAGGGGGATTTGTTCTGCTCTTCTTTAAGCAGAGTTTCCGACTGAGTTTCTGACCCAGTCACTTGATATCCAGCAGGGATACCTGGTGACAATTTTTTAAAAATGTGCTATCTTGTGTTTTGTAATTTCATTCTCTGAGAAATAACCCAGAAACTCGATTCTCAATCAAGAGGAATCACACCATGGCTAAGAGAAGAGGGCTTGCTCAAGCTGCATGAGCTCTATAATTTAAATCAGCCAGATAGGATTTATTTATAGTTGTTTTATCTTTTGTTTTGTTTTGTTTTGTTATTGAATAGCGAACCCTAAAAGGTTTCCTAACATTGTGTTGTTGATTATCAAACCCCAAAAGGTTGGGAACCACAGCAGCTCAGATGTTTTCCATTAGACCATGGTGTTTCTTTTCTATTTTTTTTTAAATACACAAGTAAATTATAAATATAGATAGAGATGAGATTGAGATAGAGATCAATGATGCCAAGATTTCTAACATGACAAATGTTGATGAACAATAACTCATTGGAACTATTTTGTCATACTTGAGATTTTCCAGAAAATAGAACAAGTCCACAGAATGGGCTTAATCTGCCAAAGCATCTCCTTCTTTACAAGCATCTACACAGGCCTCCAGCCCTAAATACTTTCACCTGGACAATGTTATGAAGCTTAATCCAGTACTAGTAGCAGAAAGACTTGTTTACTTTGGAGCTAAGGAGTGAGTAGGACACTGAAGACTTTGTTTTGTCCTTGGACTTGAGGCAAACTAATTGTTAGCATCGCTCCAGTTGTTGCTATCATTTTATTACTCATATGTAGCTATGCATAACTTGAGAAACTGAAATGTAACTGCTGCATATAATAAAAAATCAATGGCCAAGACTGGCTACCTGAGGAGACTGAGTCCCATGCTAATGAGGCTAAGATTTTATACTGATTTTGTTTTGCTCTGAGATGGTAGTCTAATAACCCCCCCGTCTCCAGCAGCTTGGTGGTTGAATTGGTGGAAACCTATTCTCAGATGGCTAGTGGAGAAACAGTTCAGAGCCCAGATCATGCTGGAGAGCAGGAGAGCCTTGGTGAAAGATGAGATGGCAAAATGCTTAAGATATGGGGATCAGGAGGCAGACACACCTGCATTTGGAACCTGGCTCCCCCATTTGCTCTCTAGGTGATAGAGTAAGTTACTAACCACTCTTACCTTCTGATATCTTATCTCTAAGAGTAGAAGAAATAAAAGGAATAGTGCCCCATTATTTGTAAGAAAGTGTGAGCGATAAGGTGCAGGTAAAGCGTTCTACACTAAATATTAGCAATCGTCATTATTATTTGTGTATCCAATGAACAGCACTGCCCACTGAAGGCTCCAACACTAGAGTCCTTCCCAATCCTGTCTCTATCACTTGAAAGAATGGTTACACGTTTTGTTCCTAGAGCCCAGCCTACTTACTGTCATGCCCGAGGGAAGCTTCATTTAGTTGATCTGTTTGGGTTATACATTCATGGATTTATTCTGCAAATCACAGGGGTCTTCACAGTCATGATGATTCTTCTTTATGAAAAATAGTTGAGAAAGCTAGAATATATTTTTAAGCCCTAGTTTTACAAATGGGAACCTACAAGCAGAAATTCACTGGCATATTACTGTGTTCCATGTAAGTCTAAGAGGTTGAAATAACTAAGGCCAACACATTTTATTTTTCCTTAACGATACCAGACATGTGACAAAACAAAGCTTTCATAAGGAATGCCTGAAATAGGGGAGACCTTCTCAAGGAAACTCCAGCTATGGGAGCTGATTGGTGGCTTGTGAGCAGTTCTCATTTCCCTACTGATGGATTGAGAGGCTAACAGAAGTCTATGGAACAAAAGAGATCCACTCCAGCTTTGAGTGTGATAAATTTTTTAAGGCCATGGCTGTCTTATTTATTTATGTATTTATTTATTTATTTTTTTGAGACAGAGTTTCACTCTTGTTGTCCAGGCTAGAGTACAGTGGTGTGATCTTAGCTTACTGCAACCTCTGCCTACCGGGTTCAAATGATTCTCCTGCTTCAGCCTCCCGAGTAGCTGAGATTACAGGCATGTGCCACCACACCCAGCTAATTTTGCATTTTTAGTATAGACGGGGTTTCTCCATTTTGGTCAAGCTGGTCTCGAACTCCTGACCTCAGGTGATCCGCCCACCTAGGTCTCCCAAAGTGCTGGGATTACAGGCGTGAGCCACCGCACCCAGCCGTAGGTCATGGCTGTCTTTAATACCCTTTCCTTAAAGTTCCCTAGTCCTAAATGTATGAATTCTGAAATATTCTTAAAGGGTCATGCTTTTGATGGCATTACATTGGTTTTGTTGTAATATGATCCCATTACACGTCATGATATGATGATGTATGGTGTGTCTGCAGAAAGTCCATGATTATGGCAACAAGTGAACTGGATAACTCTTCTGCTTTCTTACAGCTCTTCTGAAAACTTCCTTGTTTTGCCTTTTCAAACATCAGGGGCACGACTTATAAGAGCCAAATTTTGCCCCGCATGCTATATCATGGTTTCCAGTCTGTGGAGCTCCATCATACTCTGTTGGGCATCCTGTGTCTTATTCCTCTCTTTAGGTCCAGTTTCTACATCCGTTATCTGTGTTATCTCAGGCTTCAGAAGCTTCCCCATAATGTGGGCTACTTTCCCCTCATCACTGGGTATTTATTTATTTATTTTTACTGAAGCCTGAGCCCTGTAATCTTACCACACTGGCCACAGCTTCAGGAGAAAGATCACTGCTCTCAAGAACTTACAGTCTAGTGATGGATACAAATGTGCATGAAAAAATAACTAGCAATGGAAAGCAAGGCATGAAATGCGATGAAACATGGTCAAGATGCTAAGTGCTATGACATATTACACTCTGAACCTCACTTTGCTCATGTGAAAAGCTGGAGAGAGTCTTCCCAAGCTTAGCACACCCTTATAGGATTTTGGTGAAAATCAGATGAGGTGGTAGGTATGGAAGATTTCTGCCAACTACAAATCAATTACACCAAAAAATTAAGAGGGCTTGTCAAATCATAAAATTAACAGAATTATTATTAAACCTTAAGAGGACACTTAAGGATAAATGCCAGATTTAGTAGCATGGTAGTATCATTCTATCTGGAGTGGGGGCAGGAGGGAGGGAGTACCATTGGGAATGGCACACAGAGGGCCTTCAGTTCCATTGGTGTGCTGTGTATCTTATGCTCAGTGGTGGTTATACAAATGTTTGTCATCTCATTTTATAAATTTTGGTAGATATTAAATATTATAACATATATAATTTAGTTATTGAGTTTTTTGTTTGTTTTTGTTTTTGTTTTGAGATAGAGTCTTGTTCTGTTGTCTAGGCTGGAGAGCAGTGACACAATCTTTGCTCACTGCAACCTCCACCTCCCAGATTCAAGTAATCCTTCCACCTCAGCCTCCTAAGTAGATGGGATTACAGGTGCCTGCCACCATGCCCAGCTAATTTTTTATTTTTACTAGAGATGGGTTTCACCATGTTGGGTAGACTGGTCTCCAACTCTTGACCTCGAGTGATCCACTCACCTCAGTCTCTCAAAGTGCTGAGATTACAAGCGTGAGCCACCGTGTCTGAACAGTTATTGAGTTTTAGAAGTGTTATTTTCCTGATAAGGAACTGAGATCTAGAGAGGGAAATGCTTGCCTAGAATCAAACAGCCTCTTACTAGCTAAACTAGTGCTAGATCTTAATTGTTTCCACTCCCCCTCAATGTGTATTTCCTTTGTCCCCTGTAGATATTGCAGTCATCCTGGATTCCCTTTCCCTCATACTCAATTCAACAGCAGGTCCTGCCATGTCTACCTTCTAGCTATGGACTGCGTCTGTACTTCTCCCCCTCGCCCCTGCCTGTGCGTCAGGACATTCCCCAGCTGCCCTTGACTGAGGGTGGAAGGGGGAGCGTAGAGTCAGGCAGGGCTATGGTACAGGTTTCCTGGTTGGGTCTAAACTGAAGGAGCATTGTATTTATTCAGATGGAAAACATAAGGAACCAGCAAGTCTGTTATGTCAACTTTCATAAGACATTTATGTAGTTATATTTGAAAGTACTCTAAAAGTATGATGTGTTCTTAAATTTTTTTTTTTTTTTTCCAGATACGGCCTTTTTCTGTCACCCAGGATGAAGTGTGGTAGTGCAACTATAGCTCCCAGCAGCCTCAAACTCCTGGGCTCAAGTGATCCTCCAGCCTCAGCCTCTTGAGTAGCTAGGATTACAGGTGTGCACCACTACATGCAGCTATTTTTTAATTTTTTTGTAGAGACAGGAGTCTCACTACATTGCCCAGGCTGATCTGGAACTCCTGGCTTCAAGCGATCCTTCTATCTCTCCCTCCCAAAGTGCTGGATTACAGGCATGATCTGGCGCCCAGCCTGAAGTGTTGTTTATAAATGCATATGTGCATGGGGAGGTGTTTAGACATGGTTCTGCAGCCATTGGAAGAAAGACACCTGCTTCTCTCCTATGCTCATCTTTGAATGCCAGGATTGAGTTCCACATCTTCAAAGACGCTGTGGCCACAGTCCGGCTCTCATCCCAGCCAGTCCTTTCTTTCTTTTGAACTCCTTCACCACATGCAGCCTGGACCACAAAGTTTAGCCCTCAGGAATGTCTTGATTCATCTGACATTTCAGTGGAAGATTAGAAGCATCCTGCACTGGGAGCACATATGGCAGGTGAGGTCCCCTCCTGCAACCCAGGAGGCTCTGTGCTCCCCGAGAGTGGGTGTCAGCACATTATGTGGCAGGTAGGTGCTCCTTAAATATTTGCTGGGTGAACGAATGAAGAGCCTCCTCACTGGGGTCCCTATTTGCACTCTTACATTGCTGTGAGGTATCTTTACACTGCTACAGAGGTCTTTTAAAAGCATCGATCAGATTGCAAACTCTCGTGGCTGCCCATTGCTCTTAGAATAAATATAAACTCCCTCTCGTAGCCTATGAAGCCATTCTATGGCCTGTTGCCTGCTTCCTTTCCAAGCTCTTCTTTCACTCTCTCCTTGACTCAGCCAAAGCAGCCTTCCTCTGTTCCTCTAATATGCTACACGTTCCTGCGTCAAGGCCCTTGCACTTGCCTTTGTTCTGCCTGGGAATCTCTTTCCCTGGTTCTGCACGTGCTTGGCCAAAACAGTCCCAGTCACACACTCTATGACCTCGTAACACTTACCACTGTCTGAATTATCCAGCTGATTGATGTGTTTACCTGTTCCTTGCCTGCTGCTACCCTCTCCCTCTAGACTTAAATTCCTAAGCCAGGCATGGTGGTTCACTCCTGTAATCCCTGCACTTTAGGAGGCTGAGGTGGGCATATCACTTGAAGTCAGGAGTTCGAGACCAGCCTGACCAACATGGTGAGACCCTGTCTCTACTAAAAATACAAAAAGAATTAGCCAGGCATGGTGGTGCATGCCTATAATCCCAGATACTCAGGAGGCTGAAGCAGGAGAATCGCTTGAACCTGAGAGGCGGAAGTTGCAATGAGCTGAGATCACGTCACTGCACTTCAGCCTGGGAGACAGAAGGAGACTCCACCTAAAAAAAAAAAAAAAAGAAGTCCTTAAGAACAAAGCCAATATTTGCCTTTTTCACTGCTGTGTCTCCAGCCATTTAACCTAAGAGTGGCAATTCTTTGTGCTCAGTAAATGAATGAATGAAAAAAATCATTCCACACTGTTATGGACTGAATTGTGTTCCTCCAAAATTCATATGTTGAAGTCCTAACCCCCAATATGACTGTATTTGGAGACAGAACCTTTAGGAAAGAGATTAAGTTTAAATGAGGTCATAAGGGTGGACCCCTAATCCAATATGACTGGTGTCCTTTTCAGAAGAGGGACACCAGATC